GGAGGAGGAAGGAAGGAAGGAAGGAAGGAAGGAAGGAAGGAAGGAAGGAAGGAAGGAAACAAAGGGCAGGTAGCTCTGTAATACCCAAGATAACTCAGCCGCTCAACCTGAACCCCGCTCAACCTGACCCCCGGGGTTCGTGGAAACACCTTGGGCTGCTCACAAAGCCCGCGATGGTTTCTTGGGGGGGGGGGTTCAGGGTCAGCCATGTCCTGCTCTGGCTCTGGCTCTTTGCACCATTGGAGCTGTCAGCACTGAACTAAGTACTGAGTACTAAGTGAACACAGACAGAGGTACTGCAGCCAAGACAAAACAGCCCCTCCACCCCCCCCCCCCCCCCCCCCCCCCTACTCACACCACAGCTACTCACACGGAGATGATCCCAGAGCCAAGGTCACCACAGCGATCTGAGAGAAAGAAAGAAAGAAAAACACTCAAACCCTGCACCCAGCCAGACCAGGGTGCTTCCCGAGGAACGCCTGAGTACCCCCAATTAACAGGCAGTTCACAGCACCCGCGGCCCCCGCCTGGCATCTCAGCGACTCAGGAGGCTGAGATCTGAGGATCCTGGTTCAAAGCCAGCCCAGGCAGGAGACTCTGATCTCCAGTTAACCACCAGAAAACCAGAAGTGGCGCTGTGGCTCAAGTGGTAGAGCACCAGCCTTGAGCAGAAGAGCTCAGGGACAGCGCCCAGGCCCAGAGTTCAAGACCCAGGAACTGCACACACACACACACACACACAAATGCACATATACACACGCACACACACACACACACACACACACACACACACACGAGGACACTCTGATCTTTTGCAAGCGTCTTCTTTCCCTCTCCCTCCTATCTTCCAGATGTTTCTGCCCGCCTGCAGGTCTCAGGTGGTGGCTTAGGAGTCTTCACCTTTGAGCTGAGAAATAAAACCATTCCCACCTTTTTTTTCTTTTTTCAGGCTCTTGGCCAAAAAAAAATGCTTTTCTTTATCAACATTATGGAACAGGCTGGGGGAGGAATAAATTCTGTACCTCCGAAACCAACAGGCAAGTGTGCAAATGCACACACCCACTCACACACACACACACAGAGAAGTTGACTCTCTTGATCTTTTGAGTCTTTTCCCTCCCTTCCCCCTCCGCCCTCACAGGTTTTCTGTCCTCCGACGGTTATTTATTTATTGCTTAGGAGTTTTCACCTTTGAGCTGGAAAAAAAATAATAATTGAGCACAGAACCATCCCCGCCTTGTTTTTGAAATTCTTGGCTACCAAGAGCAAAAGGGTTTGGGAGGGAGGTTGGGGTTTTTTCTTTGTTTTTTTTTGGGGGGGGGTTGTTTTCTTTTCTTCTCGGAATTCTTTGGCTTCTTTAGCAACATTACGAAACAGGACGCCGGGTAGAGAGCACTGGGCACAGGGCCAGAAGCCATGACTCTTCAAATTCTGTATCTCAGAAACTAACAGGCAAGCGTGCACACACATGCATGTGCACACACACACACAGAGAAAGAAAAAGAAAATGCAAGGGAACTCGCTCGGCCCCCACTGAAGCCTATTGAAAGGAAGATATTTGGGGGGAGGACCAAATGCAGGTGGCTTTGGGGGTGGGGGGGAATGAGGAGAGCATTGGGGGTGCAGACTTTTGGGATTCAGAGGTGCCAGTCTTTAACATAAACTCTTGGGGTGGGACCTGTTCCTTTGTCGGCCACGACGGGGGGTCCCGTTTACGTGTGAACCCCTGTGGGTCATTTTCCCAAAACAACAACAAATGTGCTCACTGCACCTAAATAAGGAGGCAGAAAGCAACTAAGCCGACCGCGGCACCCTCAGAAGAGGGGGTACAACCTGAGGCTCCCAGCCAGGCAGGGCCGAGACTTACAGAGCTTTCTCATCTCGGGGTGCACACTGGAAGCAAAGGAAGACCTTAATGTCTAGGTTGCAAGCCACTCGATTATCTCCAATGAGGCAGTAAAACAAAAAAAAGCTGGTGATGGTGCCGTGGTTCAAGCGGTAGAGCACCAGCCTTCAGCAATAACAGCAACAATTACTATTATTATTGTTGTTGTTGTTGTTATAATGATAAAGGATAGTGCTCAGGTCCTGAGTTCAAGACAAACATGGAGCCGTGTGGAGACCACAGCGAGGGCCTGGGGTGTGGGGAGAGGCGTGGGGAGCTGGTCTTCCTCAATCCCCTCCTCCTGGTCATCTGCTGATTCTCACATCCACCACACGGGGGTCCCTGCCCGGCTGTCCTTTGCATCCCTGTTATTCTTAGGGGCTGGACTCCCAGGGGGCACAGATGCAGCCCCCACTGCACCCCGAGAGTGCAGGCCAGGACAGAGGTGTGCAGACCCAAGGGTGTGCAAACCCAGAAGCATGCAAACCCAGAGCTGTGTAAAACCCAAAGATGTGCAAACCCAGACGTGTGCAAACCCAGAGGTGTGCAAACTCAGAGGTAACCCAGGTGTGTAAAACCCAGACGTGTGCAAACCCAGACGTGTGCAAACCCAGACGTGTGCAAACCCAGAGGCCTGCAAACCCAGAGGTAACCCAGGTGTGTAAAACCCAGGTGTGTGCAAACCCAGAGGTGTGCAAACCCAGGTGTGTAAAGCCCAGACGTGTGCAAACCCAGAGCTGTGTAAAACCCAAAGATGTGCAAACCCAGAGCCCTGCAAACCCAGAGCTGTGTAAAACCCAAAGATGTGCAAACCCAGACGTGTGCAAACCCAGGTGTGTAAAGCCCAGACGTGTGCAAACCCAGAGCTGTGTAAAACCCAAAGATGTGCAAACCCAGAGCTGTGTAAAACCCAAAGATGTGCAAACCCAGACGTGTGCAAACCCAGACGTGTGCAAACCCAGCCAAAGCAAAGAACATTTCGCCCAAGAGAGACCTGGCACCCGGCCCTCCGCCCCTGGGGAGCCCCCTAACTCCCGGGGGCCCCCACCCCCTCGGGGACCCGTGCAGCCCCTCCCCCCGGGGGACCCCCACCTGGGATCCTCCAAACTCCCCGGGGGCCCCCC